AGGCAAAGGGGACAGTAATTGGGGGAATCTGATCAGACCAGAGGTAGGCGACCTGTGTCCAAATAGAAAGATGGGTTGTGAACAGCAGAGGCACAAGCCACCTGCAGGAAGCCCCCAGCTATGGTGGTTGGTGGGGGTAGGGGTGGGTAGAAGAGTGGGGAAGCACATGGGAGGTCTTTGTTTAGAGCTGTCTTTTTCTTTGGGAAATGGGAACTGGGCCCCCACTTGAGACTAAAATTGGGAGATGTGTCTGGACTGGGAATCAACATACCTCATTGATTTCTGGGGCCTGTTTAGGTATGTAGAGTATACCATCAATGCAAAGGGAGATTAGTAAGGTGGTGTGCTTTTCTTCAGCTCTGCTAGATGCCTGCGCTTGGGAGGGAGAAATGATGGTAGTGAGGCCAAGAGAGCCAGGGAGTTCGAGGGAAGGATTAGTCAGATGGACACAGAGTCTGCTCAGTAGAGAGGGATGTGAGACCATGGGATTGAGACAGTGGCAGGCACAGTGAAGGTGCAGTCTCCTGGAGTCAGTGCTGGAGGACACTCTGGAGGTAGCATGCTGAGTGGACGAGGGCTGTGGTCCTTCCTGGGGTCAAGGCTAGTCCCTGAGAGCTGGCTCTGTTTTCTGTACTCCCTCAGCCCCTCATACCTGAGTCTTCTGTTAGGAAGATGTTTTGGGGTAAACAGACTTGAGGATAAGGGCTCGAAGGACAGCCCTGAATTGTGGGGCTGAGACCCTATTGCTCAGAGGGCTCAGAAATGCTGGGGACATGTGAAGGGTATGAGGTTCTCCATTCAAGCTCAGTTTGGGGTAGGGGGTACTGTTAGCTTTCTGTTGCTGTGACAAATACCTGAGAGAAACAAGTAAGAGAGGAAAGGTTTATTTTGGTTCATGGTGTAGGGTTTCAGTCTCATTATTGGTAAGGAAGGCATGGCAGGGCAGCTCATATCATATTAATCAAGAAGGAGAGGGAGGGAGGGAGGGAGGGAGAGAGGGAGGGAGGGAGGAAATGAATGAGCATTCTAGCCTTTCTCCTTTCCCCTTTTTATTCCAGCCAGGCTCCTAGCCTATGGGATGGCACCACCCAGATTGAAAGCAAGCCCCTGCCCCCCATTAGTTAACCTTCTCTGGAAATACCCTCACAGACACTCCCAGAGCTGTGCTGTACTAATCTCCTAGGTATCTCTCAATCCAATCAAGTTGACAAGTGAGATTAAACATCCCAGATACCAAGTCTGTGCCTGTTGCCTTTGATGCCCACTCTGTGTCAGGTGTGTTGCTTTGGAAGTAGAGAATTATTTGGGGGGGGGATCTTTTTTCTCCCTGTAGCCTCAGCAGGTCTGGAACTTGCTATGTAGAATGGACTGGCCTTGAACTCACAGAGATCCACCTGCCACTGCCTCCCAAGTGCTGGAATTAAGTGCGGGGATTAAGGGCGTGCACCACCATGCCCGGTGGAAGTAGAGAATTCAAATTCTGATTCTCCTGCTGGTGTTGTGAACTGGAGCCAGTACCTCACCTCTCTGAGCCTCAGTTTCTCATCTGCCACAAGGCATAATGCCTGCTTTTCAGTTTGGCTGCTCTAGAGACGTCTGTGGGATGAATGTGATGACAAAGACAGCAAAGTGGGATGAAAATTTTGTGTTTTAGTATAAACTGCAGGCCTCACTTCAACATGGGGCTCAATGTCCCTCCTAGGAAGGCTTTTGATGGGAACTGCTGTTCTGTTCTTGAGAGCCTCCCTTCCCTGACTACTCAAGCTGTTTTTAATTCACTTGCTTATTCATTCGTCCATTTAGTCATTTATTCTCCTGGTGTTTGTTGTACCCCATGGCTTTGTCAGAGGAGGAAATAACAGGAGGTGAGCCATTAACAAGTCCTTCTTTGCATTCATTTATCTTTTTGTGGCACTGGGGATCAAACCTAGGATCTTGGGCATATTAGGCCAGTGTTTTCCCACTGAGCCACTGTCCCAGTCCACTTCCTTGTGTTTCTGTGATCATTTTGGATGAGCTCTAAGCTGTTGACTGTCCCCTGAGGTTTGACCAGGCACAGCAGGCAGGAAATTTCTAAAGAGTGCGGCCAGAGTGCATGATTGGCCAATTGGGCAGTGTCTGCATACTGTGGGTACTTGGTGACAATACTAAGAGATGCTTTCTGGGAATACCCTTCCCAAGAAGCCATCTTCCCTGACTGGTGGCCATGTCCTCCCTCACCCCAGCATCCTTCAAAACTGAGTTGGTTAGACTACTGGCTCTCTGGGTAAAAGTCAAGTTCGGAGTTGGGGACCCTGGAATTTGAACCATGGTGATGTATCCTGTTATTGCTGGTCACAGGATGATAGTGTTGCTTACCTGGACTTCCTCATCTGTGATTGCAGCAGGTCTGACATTGGAAACTCTAGACCAGTGTCTTTATCACTGAATTCCCACTCCCAGCCTGGCCGCTTATTCTGGGACCACTAACTGTGACTGGAGGTGGGGTAGGGGTGCCTCTTTAGGGCTGGAACAAGCCAGAGAGCACAGGGAGCCAAGGGCATGCACCAGGCCCCCTGGTGAGGATCCTTTTTGTTGTGTTTCAGGAGAAAAAGGTAACGAGGCACAGCTTCTACTTAGCACTGGTATAAATCCCACAATCAGGAAAAGTGCTTCAATGGCTAAAAAGCACTGGTGGGAAAGTCCACTTATTTTTCATTTTTCTTGTGCACTTGCCACCCGCTTGCATGAATCACTGTCGGGATGAGATTAAATTTATCCCCTGTTATCTTTCATGTCTTTGCTGCTCTGGTGTCAACTGGGCTGACTACTGAAAGCCCATCTACTTTTTAGAGGCAGGGAGAAGTGGCCCTCTTGTGGGAGAGGCTGCTGCATGGTTTCGCTCTGCTCCGGGGTCTCCCCTCAGGCCTCCTCTCCTGGGTAGGATTTGCTTTCAGGAGGGTATAGGTCTTCTCTAGAGATGCTTCTGCCCCAGCATCTTCAGCAGCAGGTATGGTCACACTCCAGGAGCCTTCCAGAGCTTCTTGGGTGGGTTTGTAGTGAGCATGGTGGAGACTGTTCATTGGCTGGGATAGAATAGGGAAGGTGTAAAGCACTTTCTAGTGACACATATACAGGCCTCCATTCTGTCTGCCTCCCTGCCCCATGCACACAGGGACACACACACACACACACACACACACACACACGGCAGAGCTGGGTTCCTGGACACAGCCCAGCTGCATGTGGAGAAAACTTGGTCACCACTGTGTTCTGGGCAGTACAGGCTGGTCTGGAGGCTCTGCTCTCCACCCTCAGGTTTAGCCATCTTTGTGACCATGCTCTAAGGGCCTGGTTATTTAGTCATGAATTTTGTTATTCAACAAATACTACCTTTGCTTTTCTGGGTCCTGTATCTCTCTGAAAATCTGACATAAGTCCAGGCTCCCCCTGAGAGGAGTCTGGCCAACTAAGGGGGGCTCAGAAGGCCCAGAACTCTAAGAGTCCAGCTCTTTCTAAACTAAGAGGCATGTCTCAGCCCTTCATACCCCAGGACCTTTCTTGTATTGGTCTCAGAGGAGTAGTTCCCCAACCACACTGCAGGCTGTTGGTGAGAATTACTGATGTGATACGGAGCCCCCACTTCTCTCCAGGGTACCATGTCCCTGGTGGGGTGGGGTGTTCTGTGGACGTGGCAGCTACCCATGCCTGTTGCAGGCCAGTGCAGCTTCCTCAGCAGGTGTCATTACTGCATAAGAGACCCATCATTCTGCATTAATCTGGGATTCATCATGATAGCCATGACCATAATTAATTTATTTGGTATTAATGTGGATGAAATATGTACTGTCCTTTCAGGGGAAATCAGGCTGCCTATAAGCATTAGTTAAAAGGACCATTAAAATCAAACCTTCCCCAGATCCATTAGGCGAAGTCTTTCATCCTGAAGAAGATAAAGTTCTGCTGTGTGAAGTGTCATGAATAATTAGGTTGATTGCTGTTTTAAACTCTGCCCCCCGCTTCCCAGGCCCTCCTGTCTCCCTTCCTCTCTGCCTCCAGAAGGGGGAAGATTTACCTGTGGTCAAGCACCCCCTTACTGCCTTGGCCCCCGTTTCCCTTTTGGTTCTGTGACCTCTGCTGAGGCTCTGTGTGCCCCTGTGACTAGCATCGGGAGAGGGGCTTCAAGGACCTTGCCGGATGCCTCTTCCACCGTGTCTATTTCTGCTTCACCACCCCTGGTAGAGGGAGGCAGTGGGTGGCTGCTTCTTGCTGTGGTGACAGTCCATAAAGGTGTAGGGCCTGGGAGCTGACTGAAGCAGAATTTTCTAAAGTAAGATCCACGGACTCCTTGACCAGGATCATAGCAGGGGCTTGAAAGTGCTTCTTCCTGGGCCCACCTGAGACCATGCCATCTTGGAGCAGCATGGAGAGGGTTGGATTTCCCTGTGTGCCTGATGGAGGAAGGCGAAGAAACAGAGGAACAGAAGCCTTCAGGAGAGCCCCCCTCTGTTGACAGTGCATTTTTTCCAGAGTGCTAGTGTGGGCATAAGCACGTGCTGCCACTACGCCAGCCACACAGGGCCCCCTCCCTCAGGAAACCTTATTGAGGACTGTGGGCTTTAGATGTCGTAGTCCCCAGGCACATAGGGCTCCTACCAGGTTGGTCCTTTCAGTGGCACCACAAAGATGATGAGGAAGGCTGGCGGTGAAGGGTGACTACCTGCTTTGAAGGAGACTTAGAAACTCCTCCACTGCCCTCATGCATTGAGAGGTGTCAGTGTGGATCCCTGGGATGTCAGCCTTGGAATGAACATTGAGCTCTAGATCTAATCCAATCCTTCACTCGCTGTGAAAACAGCGAGGACACCTGGCAGTGGAGTTAGTGGGAAGCTCAGACAGAGTACCTGTAAGCTTTGCACCCACAGATATCAGATGATGGGGTAGGACAGGGTTGATAGACGATGGGGTCAACACCCTCAGCACAACCCCCTTGCCCTAATTCTTTACTGCTGCTCTGACAGGCGCTTTGGCACAAAATGCACAGCCTGCCAGCAGGGCATCCCCCCGACCCAGGTGGTTCGCAAGGCCCAGGACTTCGTCTACCACCTGCACTGTTTCGCCTGCATCATCTGCAACCGGCAGCTGGCCACTGGGGATGAGTTCTATCTCATGGAGGATGGGCGGCTTGTTTGCAAGGAAGACTACGAGACAGCCAAGCAGAACGGTGAGCAGCGGGAACCACCACGTTCCTTTTTCAGGCTGTGCCCACTCACTGAGGTGTCCTCCTCTTTGAGTCCCTCCTGTATAGCCCTCCTGGCACAGCTGACACTCAGCCTCCTCTGAGAAGTGTAATGAATGCTCCACAGTGAGAGTTAGTTGTGAATACCTCCAAACCTTTAGTCCTTGCTGGCTTTGTGAAGCATTCACTAAGCAGTGGTTACTGAGAGCTACTGAGGCCCTTATGAAGTGGTGGGCTGGGAGCAGACACTTTTCTGTCACCATCTTGGTGGACTTTTTGCCTGGAGCATAGCTGGCAGGCTGGGGGGTGGCTGGATACTTGGTTGACTATGGGCATTTGGGGTGCACACTTCTCTCAGCATCCCATGCCTCACAGGATGTAGTCAGTGAGAGCCACAGCACTTACTTGCAGGACTGGCCCATTTTCAGTTGTCTTCTGTTGTCCCTCAGACTGTGGGTTTAGGGACACTGACTGCTGAGTGCCTGAAGCCCCGATGCTGAGTCAGTCATTCTGAGGATGACAGGGAGGAACATACAGCCACATTTTGGGGGACTCAACAGTATGATGGTCTCTACCTTCCCTCAAGGCCACAGCCTTCATGCAGGTTGAAGACATGCCTCAGTGTTTCAGACACACCTGGTAACCCAGGCTGGCAGCCTGGAAGCCACTGCCTTTGGTCTGTTGTCATGTTTTTGAAGTAAAGGAACTTTCCAGTGCCTGGACAGGGCTCAGACAGACCACCCCATTTCCCATGCTTCCCTCAGGAAGGCCAATCCTGACTCCCTCTTTTCCTGAAGCCCCGCCCTTGGCGTCTCACTCACAGTTCTGTCTTCAGGGTAGAGGTATCATGCCCTGGAGTCCAACCGGAATGTTAAACCCAGAACTCACAGAACATCAAGGTCCTTAACCTGTGACTAACATTTTTAACAACTCAGATGCTTCTGTGGAAGGCATCCCTATTGACAGGTCTGGGCTTGATGGAGACAAATAATTTCATATATTTCCTTCTAGCTCTTTCCTGGGGTCACACCCTATGTTATCTGAATCAGATTAATACATGGAGAAATTATGGTGGTTTTTTTTTTTTTTTTTTTTTTTTTTTTTTTTGTAAAAAAAAAAAAGTGATTTATATATGTAGAAATTTTTGTTGTTTTTTTTTTTTTTTTTTTTTTTTTTTTGTGTGTGTGTGTGTGTGGTGGGAGCAGGCTGAGGCAATTCCTCAGGGCCTTGTAGTGAGCCAGCTGGGGACGAACAGGAACTTCCTCTCTCTTTGGGAAATCCCAGCTCCAGCCTTTCCAGGTGGACAGAGGACATTGGTCTTCTTCCTCCAGGGCTTCTGCAGACCCCTTCTAAGTCATTTGCCTTGATACACTCGCCCACTTAGGAGTCCACAAGGATGTTACAGAAGAGTGGTGTGACTTGTTAGTCTATCAATGCAGATGGACTCAGAGATACCAAGACATTTTGAAATTCTGATGACCTTTACCAGATAGCCCTAAGACACCATCTCTTCTTAGACCTCTGCTGGGTCTTTGTATCAGAAGCCTCATGTGGACCCTGATTATTCTCAGCCCAGAAACTCCTGGAGCTGTAGATGATTCCAGAGAAGAGAGAAACTGGTGGTAATTCCATTGGGGTGGCAAGAATGACACTGTGGGGCTCATAATCTTGTAGAAGAAGTTTATCCCACAGACCTGCAGGGTGATACAAAGAGGCTTGTCCTGGCATCCAAGACTGGGTGGGCAGCCTATGAATGAACCTCCTTGGCAAGCTGTATAACTGGCAGTCTTAGCTCTGCCATACTAAGCTATTTCCCAGGACTAACTAACTAGGATGATGTTTATGAAACAGGATGCCAAATCAATATGAGGCCCAGGTGGAGCGAGATATAGTCAGGAGGCGAAGTGTGCTGAAGGGTTAAAAACAGCTGAAGGTACTTGTGACATGTTTCCCAGGTGTCCTTGTCAGAAAGGCTGAGGTTCTCTCTCCTGTACAATCTGAGGGACGGTTAACATAGTAGGGGACATTAGTCTGCTGTAGGCAGTTTGGCTGATTTTGACTTTTAATTCCTTCTCACTACTCTAATCCTTCTTCAGGCTCATAATTCCCTTTGAGCTAAACAAAAGGTCTAATACCAGCTATTTGCTTCTTAGTGGGAATGATTTTGTTCATTCATCTCATCTCCTTGGATATTTGCATTTTCAATATAATGATGCTACATTTTATGCTAGGGGCAAGTTTTAGGACACCTCGCATAATTCAAAACAAACATATGTTAAGGCTGATTTTTCTGTGGGAATTAATGCTAAAAGAAGGGGGAATATATTTCTGTAGCCACACCAATCCATAACCCAAGTGTACTTTGCCTTAATGCTACTTTTTATTTTCTTAGCATTATCTCTAGTACCTTGCTGGATGCTCTCTCCTAAATTAACAGGCCAGGGTACCATGGTCTTGCTTGGCCTTCCTCATAGTGTTTTTATCACATTTAACTTCCGCACCAAAGCTATTGATTTTTGGGTACATTTTTCAGCACAAGCACTGCCATCGCTACTTAATGAATACTTGGATGACATTGTTATAGGATATAAAAAAGATTTTAAATTATAATAACAGCGAATGTTAAAATAACAGCATAATAGTTCCCATAATCACATGAAAAAAGTCCTGTGCATATGAGCAGTGGTGCTGCACCAATGAGCCGCGCACCGCGGTGGCAGGGAACTGCCTGTAAGGAAGTAACTTCTAATTCACTAGGCTGATTGTTTGAAACAGATTCTCCATGAATTAAATTTTCCTTTCTCCTTTCCCTTTCCTTCCCTTTTCTTTTCCTCTCTCCCACCCTCCCTCCCTTTTTCCCTCCCTCCCTCTCTTCCTCCCTTCCACTGTTCCTTCCATTCTTTCTTTTCTCCCCCTGGATGAGGGGGTCTTGCTGTGTTGTCCAGGATGGCCTCAAATTCTTAGACCCAAATGATCCTCCTGCCTCAGCCTCCAAAGTAGCTGGGACATTTTTAAAATAGTTTTATTATTTGAAAGTTTATATATGAAGACTACATATTTTAAAAACACACTATTTCATTATTTGACATCATTATTTACACAATTCAGATTTGTATCAAACAGTGTCATCTGTGAACTCTATAAATATGGGCAGAAACGGCTGAGCCCTTACTACAAAATTTAAAGTGAAGCATTTCAGTGCTTTTCCTGAGCAGTGGTCTGCCTAGGAACTCTGGACTCTGGGCCCTGTGAGTCCTGGAATCGAGGGAGGGAGTTGGTTGAGAGCAGTTCTGGGATGACAGTGGCTCTGTTGAGGGTGAAACAGCATCAGGAGGAGGGTGGGGCAAGAAGACAGGACCCTGGGGCCTCCACCCTTCACTTGGGCACAGCTATAGGGAGTGTGCAACTGCTGAATTCCTAGAACACAGAGCCTCATGTGGGGAAGTGGTGTTGCCCCCCAGTTCCAGAGAGATGAGGCTACTCACCCAAGTCCCTCCCTGAGCAGGAAGGTCAAACTGCCAATATCTTTTAGAATGGAGGATTGAATATATGTAAAGCTCATAGCAAACCTCTGCACACAGTAGGTACTTAATAAATGTTGGCCATTATTGTTGTTCCTAAACAAGGATTTTCTAAAATGGAAAGGAAGAAAAGAAGGCTGGGAGGAAGGTAGGACACACATGAGCGCAGAGAACATGGAGGTCCCCTTGGATTTGACCCTTGGCTTCCTCAGGTGTGCAGTGCAGAGCCATGAGCTAGGAGACAGACAGCTGTTTACACCTGACTGTGCACCACCAAACACTCAGACATCACTCTGTGCCCGAGTGTAACAAACCAGCTTTAACAGGAACTTGAGGCTGACTGCTCAAAGACTATTGAAGACATTTGTTGACCAGTATGTTGTCCTGAATATTCCTCTGACTATTCCTCTTGACTATGATCCATAGTATGAAACTCACTTTATATTTCAACTGAATATGTATCTGTGCAGTGAAAGCCTAAACATGTTTCATGAAACAATACATGTTTTATTCTATTTGTCCTATTAGTTTTGATCCATTAAATTGACTCCGGGGGTGACTAGGGAGGTACAGGCTCTCTTCAGTTGGAAGCCCATGTAGACACGGCAGATACAACAAGGCCAATGTAGGGGGCAGAGAAACCAGGTGGGAAAGTGGGTAGGATACCTGGGGCAGTTCAGGAAAGATAACATTTTGACTCCTTCATTTTATAGCCCGGGGAGTGACTTTTTCAAAGTTGCCTAAGCAGAGTATTCACCATGATAGGGAAATGAGGGGAACTGTGTGTTCATTTGTGACAGACCTCTGTGCAGCTAGACTGACCAGAGAGGGAGAAGAGGGAGCTGAGGGGAAAAAGGAAGGTGGGCCTCACTTTCAGTGTAGTGGAAGACTGAGACACCAGAGTCAGCTTCCCTGGGTGGGGAACACTCCCCTATGACGCTGTCCCTTCTTCTCACCGAGGTTGTCTGGGGAAGGAAGGCAGGCAAGGGGAGGCCCAGCTGCTTCAGCTCGGCTGATTTCAGTAAGGTGGTTTTCACTGCAGATGACTCAGAGGCCGGAGCTAAGAGGCCACGGACCACCATCACAGCAAAGCAGTTGGAGACGCTAAAGAATGCCTACAAGAACTCCCCAAAGCCTGCCAGGCATGTGCGGGAGCAGCTCTCCTCTGAGACAGGGCTGGACATGAGGGTGGTACAGGTGAGTTGCCCACACTCCTTTGCCCTTTGGAGGTCCAGGTCTGTGCCCTCCACCTGAGGGAGGCTTGGGAACATGAGTGACATCACTTGGTGAGTGGTGACATTGATTCTATAGGGATATGGGTTCAGGGCCACCACCCTGGAGCATGTGCCAGAGCCAGAGGCAGAGTACTGAGGCTCAGGCTATGGAGACAGTGGGCACCCTGCACTTTGCTCTGGCACACTTACCAAGGCTTTCTGTCATTTCTAGCAACCTGCTTTGGGGGTCCAGGGGCTTTGGCTAGCCCCTGAGTGTGTTCCTTGTGCTTTGTGGCAGGTTTGGTTTCAGAACAGAAGGGCCAAGGAGAAACGTCTGAAGAAGGATGCAGGGCGGCATCGCTGGGGGCAGTTCTATAAGAGCGTCAAGAGGAACCGGGGAGGCAGCAAGCAGGAGAAGGAAAGCTCAGCTGAGGACTGTGGGGTTAGTGACAGTGAGCTGAGCTTCCGAGGTGAGCAGGGCTGGAGGGGCGAGGCCGAGGCCCTAGGCAACTCCCTGGGAAACAGTAATCCCTGCCAGCAGGAGGGGTCTTTCTGAGGACTTCATCCAGGGCACAGGCTTTTTCTTGGACTTGCAGTGAAGCATGGGAAAGGAATTAGTGGCCCTTCTAGAAGGGATGAGGAATAGCAAGCAAGAGAATGATGCTGATATGTGGAGGCCAGGCTCCTGGGGACCTGGCCTGGTCCTGCCCTGGCCAGGAGGCCTCTCCTCCTTTCCTGCTGCCAGAGGTGCCCTCAGCAGCCCACACAGCTGTGTCTCAGTCTCTGCCCCAGCCCTCCTGCACCTCTCCCCTTTGCAGGGACACTGAACTCCTCCCACGGTCCCCTAAAGTAAGCCAAGCCATTCCTCCAATCCTGGTGGCAGGAGGACATGCTCAACAGGCCTTTTCCTGGGAAATCAATAATGTGAGTGCATGATGGGAAACTGGCTGCGTTTCTGAAATCCCTTCCCCCACCACTCACTTCATCCTGTCCCCTGCACACAAGCTTTGCAGCATGCGCTATATTCAAATTTGTGCATCAGCAAAATTGCAAATTACCGCACGAGTGGATCCTCAGGTTGTTTGCAAATAACCATAACTGTTCTCAGTCACTGAGCCCTCAAATGTAGGTCTTCTTTTCAGGGAAGAATCCTGAACTGGGGATCAGAAACCCAGTTTCTGGTGTGGCTCTATCAAAGTCACCCAGTTCTCTTGAGCTTCAGACCCCTCCCCCATATATGGGAATGCCACCTACTTGCCCATCTCACACAATTATCATGGGCATAAATGAACACAACCAGCTGTGGATGTTCTTGGGGAAAGCTAAGCACATCTGTGTACATGAAGATAAATGTTAGGCACAGCTGTCCCCACAGGAGTCTATCACAGGGGATGGCAAGTACCAGGCAAAGGGCCAAGTCATGGCCCTTTTACAGTGGAGCTGAACCTTCATTTTCCTGCTCCCTTTGAAGGGCATGAGCTCCCTCTTTTTTATCTTCATGAGTGGTATGGGGGATACTCAGAAAGGTGGGATGTTGAAGTCTAACCTCAGGTAGCCCTACATAGGAACCGATGTACAGGCTTATGTAGGCGTAGAGAAAGGCGGCACTGGAACAAATTGCCAGCCATGAGCATAATCCCCTAAGAGCTCTGCTGAGCCCAAAGGTCAGTCTTCTTAGAACACAGGGCTTTGGACCCAAGGAGGGCCAAGGAGCCTTGTCCCATCTTTCTGGGCATCTTGGCAGGAATAAGAATGGTTAATCTCATCTGAGCTGCTGACATGCCCAGAGCACACAGGAGTACCAAATCTTGTTTTGTAGCTCATTTCTCTTGGGTGCAGCTGGGTCTCTGGGTAAGACATGTTTGCTCTGGGTAACATAAAATCTTATATTTCTTAAGACTAACCCTGCTCACCCTTATTGGAGAGATAAATTCTTCCATTAAATTCCCATAATGAAATTCTTCAAGAAAAAAGGTCCATTTGCCTTAATCAAGTTATTCTTTGTCCCCAGTGAGTAGATTATTGGATATAGAGAGAAACCCAGTTCTTTGATATTGAACCCCCTTTTCAGGTACACTAAGAATTTACACACAGGTCTAAGAGTGGTCCCCAGCCACCTTTACCATATGGGCCTGTTTGCCAACCAGTCCAACCAAGCACTTTTCTTGGTTTGAATGCTTTTCAGAGCAAATTCTGTCAGCACAGTTTCTGTTTGTGACATAGATAACATGACCACCAAATCTGGGGCAATCACACACCTGAGCCTGGCCAGAGTATCTTAGTACATGATCTACTCTGGACCAGCAAGCTCACCAAACATTTCCTAGTCTCTGGGACCTGGAATTCAGTCTCCACAGGTATTTCTCATTTTCTCCTTGGCCTGGGTTGGTCTCTGGATGGCAGGTTGGTGTCTGACCTGTGCTTGGCAGCAAGGAGGCTGCTACCCATGGGCATCTTTCCTAGTCATTGTATTGCTGGTTGTGAAGATCAGGGACCACTGAAGTCCTGGCAGCTGACAATAAATTTCCATTCTTTTGTCCACAGAGGATCAAATTCTCTCAGAACTTGGCCACACCAATAGGATTTATGGCAACGTGGGGGACGTTACAGGCGGACAGTTAATGAATGGGAACTTCTCCATGGATGGGACAGGACAATCCTATCAGGACTTGAGGGATGGGAGCCCCTATGGAATCCCCCAGTCTCCATCCTCCATATCGTCCCTGCCATCCCACGCTCCCTTGCTCAATGGGCTGGATTACACGGTGGACAGTAATCTGGGCATCATTACGCATGCAGGGCAGGGAGTAAGCCAGACACTGAGAGCCATGGCTGGGGGACCCACCTCTGACATCTCCACAGGAAGCAGTGTAGGCTACCCTGATTTTCCAACTAGTCCAGCCTCTTGGCTCGATGAAATGGATCATCCTCCTTTTTAAGCTTCTCTCCTCCCTACTTTACCTGCCCTCGCTACTTGAGAGAATATCTTCAAGGATCAAAAGAGACTTGCCTCTTAAGGATCAAAAGTACAGCAATGTGAATTTCCATTATTTTCAATGGAACTCCTCCACCATTCCTAGAAGGCTGTGTGACCACACTAGGACACCGCTTTCTTGGGAGGTGGAGGAAGAGCAGCTTCATCTCAGCCACAGCACAGGGGTGGACATCCTAGAGCTCTAGGGATGCTGGCTTGTTGGCTCCCTCCCTTCCCACCATGCTTAGAGGCTTTGGCTGCTCAGTGCTTTGACAGCACAAGGTGACTTTGACAGGCCACCTTGGCCTTTGGGAACTCTACTCCTGCTGGTGCATCTCACTATACTTTCTAAACCACTGCTCCCACCAGAACCAGGATTCCTAAGGTAAAGGCATCATGACCTTGTGATATCTGGACCACTCTGCACCCTAATTTTCAAAATAAAGTCAGTTATTAAAGGCCAGTAAAAACACGGATGGCCACAGTTTGATAATAAAAACACAGCCCCTTCCAGTTTTGTTAGTTGATGTGAAAATATGGCTTCTTTGCTATCTGAATGTTCAAACTAGCCAGTTTGAGTTTTTTGGTTTTTTTTTTTTTTTTTTTTTTTTTTTTTTTTTTGTCTCCCTGTAGCTCCAGTTTTTGGTCTTTTTGAAGCAGGTTCTCCCTGTAGCCCCAGCTGTCCTGGAACTCACTATGTAGACCAGGCTGGCCTTGAACTCACAGAGATCCACCTGCCTCTGCCTCCCAAGAAACCCCATCTATACTGCTGAATACCCTGATGTGAAGAAGTGGCTTCCACAGCAAGTGACTCTAAGACTGGAGCTGAGTAACCCTGGATCTTCACAGACTGCCCAATGAGCCCCCTTGGTGCGCAGAGTGCCTTTTAAAATTTGCTTCTATCCTTTGCTCCCTAAGACAGGATTTGGGCTGCAAAATGATCAAAGCTAAACCACACAGAGACCAGAATGACAATCAGTGAACACCTGTAGACACATTTGGACTCCAAAGGTACAGTCTGTTTAGCCATGCTAGCAGATGCCAGTCTCCCAGCATTCCCTGTCCTTGGGACAGGTCGAAATGAAATTTGGAGCATCTGCTGTGTGTTGAGGGGTGGTTTCAATGAGCTTGTAAGGCCATACACCTCCCTTAAAAACGAAAGCTGCTCTGCTATGCTAGCTGACTCAGCTGGAGGGTAATCTTGGTTGCTTCCAGAACCATGTTTTGTTGTTGTTGTTGTTTCCCTTTTACTTTCATTGGAATAACATAGGGAGCAGCTTTTAAATGGTTCAAAACGTTACAAGTGGTCATTGGTCTGCATCTCTCTGGGTTGCTGGCTGGATTTTGCCACACCCTAGACCCCAGTCTTGCACTCAGAAAGCCACAGCTCTCTGGCCAGTGGTAGTGCAGGGACTCCCTGCTTGCAGGTTTGTGGTAATGCTTTACTAAGTCTGCAGTCAGGACGAGGCCAGCCTGGCCTTCATCTGTCATCCAAAAGAGGCTGCACCTCTGTGGGAGATGCGGCTGTGAGTGGTGTGGCAACTGCCACTGGTGTGCCCCACTTCTGGCCATCAGGCAGCTCTCTATGTGCAAAATGGTTTCTAGCTAGTTGGAAGTTATTCCCGCCCCCTGGGGTAGCTGTGATTTGCTTTCTCTTTTAAACAAGATCCGCAGGGTAGGAAAGGATGAAAAGGTTCTGCTTTTCTTTTACAGGAAGCGATGAGGCCAAAGGCCCAAGGACCCTTCCTTCTGTCAGTTGGTCTTATTTTGAGGACTGCCAAGATTTAGGCACGTGGTAGGGAGATGAAAGGAAGCATACATTTCCTCCCTGGCTGCTGTCTCTTTTGTAAGCCTCTTTCTAAACTAAGTTCAATTAAACTTCTTTTAAAAGATATACTCAGTAAACTCCTAGATCAACAGTTGCCTTCTCACTGATCAATTCTGTGGTAAACCCTTGCTTTGGTGGGTTATAATTGGCCTGATTTTTGCTTTGGGAGCCTCCAAATATAGACCTTCCTCTTGAGATTCCATGTTTATGGACAATGATGTGTTAAGCCTGTTCAGTACTATTGGAATTCTCCAACACTATGAACACTGGAGTAAGGAAAGAGGCAGATGCAAAGCAAGCTCTGTGAAGGAAATGGCAGTCATCTATGTGGAGACCCCCTTCTTAAATATCTCACCCTCAGCAGACTGCCCATCCCACACAGAAGCAAAGCGAGGGCTGGTCAATTTGGCTGAAAAGCTGCCCCAGCTAGGCCTGTCTCAGCTTGACTATTGGGCTTAGTATCTCATGGGTTCATAGTTTTGAACATAATATGGGACAGCAGGTTCTTTAGTGGGGTCTCTCCATCTGTGTAGCACCACTGAAGATCAAGTGAAGTTGATCAGTTTTGTTTTTGTAAAGGAGTTAATCACGCACCTAGTTCAGCAGTGGGCCATTCTTGCTCCTGCTAACACAGTATCCTGAGGAAGCTGGTGGGCATTGCAATGATGTTGGTAGATGCTTTGTTGGTTTCTTTTGGGTCAGTGAGCTAGACGAGCTCTTAGGAGAGCACTGGTCAGGAGGCTATGAGATCTTCCAGAGCCAGCTCCCCAGAGAGCAGCATGCTCTGGTGCCATTTAGAAGCACAACCATGACAGGTCTTAGATTTTAAGTGGATCTCCCTGCAAGTTGTGCTCGTGTTATGGATGGGCATTGCATGCCAAGGCTGTTCTTTGGCTCTTCTATGGTTCGAAATGGAGAGAACAGGATGTTTCCTTCCCATCCCTTAGAGGCACTCCTCTGCTGCTCAGAAGTCTATTACTAAGGTACCAGCTGCTCTTTGGTAGCTGTTTGCCTCCTTTCCTAAGGGCAAAGATGCTTTAAAAACATGAAGTGTGACCTTCTAGAGACATTTACAGTATTTAGGTCTAGCTTTGGCTCTAAGAGAACAATTAACTGACATCTATGTTAGAGACTGCCTAGCATATTTCTGAATCCTGGAGCAAATCTAAAAAAATAGGAAAAACTAAGCAAACATTTCCAGTGGCAGTTGGAGTAAGCAAAGATGGGAACAGAGTTGCTCTGGAGAAATCTGTATTTGTGTAAAAGTGATAACATGATGGAGAAAATGCTAAATCCAAGAGCCACCTGGCCAATGGGCAGACACGTTAGAAGGGATGGTGGTTCTCTAAGAACTTGCTGTGCAATCTCAGGCACATTTCTTTCAGTCCTTATGCTGAGCACTTCCTTCTTGCTTCTTCTGCTCGTCATTAGTAGAATGTAAGAAGAACATCAATGGCTCTACTGGTAACATTGTTCCTGCACACTGATGCAGTGAAGCCATAGAGGAAGAACAAAACTAAGACCCATGAAAAGCATTGGGCAGTGTCCTGAAAGTTTGTGTGAAGCATAAAACCTAGTAAGATAAGTGGGGGCAGTTAGTTCCTCATCATTAAGTTCACTTTGTAAGGACGTGTGACAGATCTGTAGAACAAAGCCACTCATACAGCTGAGGCGCACAGCTGGTGACTCTGGCAGGAAGAGTTCAAACTCTCAAAACCCTTCCACATCCCCACACAGGCCCTCTCACAGGCTATGACTGACACCTTAGCTCCAACCATGGAGACCGTGATCACACCTCTTCAGCCAGCAGGGTCTGGAAGGCCTGAGGAGGCTCATTTTGAAACATTGCACTTTAAAATTGGAAATGGTGAGATGAAGAAAAATTCAATTAAGCGGAAATGAGTTTTGTTTTATTGCCTGCTGCTGAAGGGCTCTGGGCATGCTGAAAGCTAAATAAAAGCACATCACTGGCTCTCTCTTTCTTGGGTTGGTCAACTGGCCCTTTTTTGCAGTAGTTGCTCCAACTGCTCTAACAGTGACTGGAGCCAAAAAGAGAGGGCTCAGCAAAGCCATCCCATCCCCACTCTGCTTGGTAGGACCACACTAAAAGCACAGATTCATGCTGCTAACTCTGGCGAGGAGACAGCTGCAGATTTGGGAGGGGCGCCAAGCGTTCCTAGCTTAGGGCAGCAGAGCACAGGTGGACAGAGCAAGGACACTTCCACTCCCACCTGTTGCCCACTAGAGGCAGGGATCACAGTGGACTTTCCCGTGCGAGGACTGTGTTCAGCCTAATGGGGCAGGTTCAGGGCTGCAGGAACCCACATGCTGCTCTGAGCTCACATTCAGACCTCAAAGCCCCAGGTTTCCTAGGCTGTGGATTGTTGCCCTCATCCTTCATAATGTAAATTTTGTACAGTTAAAAAGAAATGAAGGGTTTCCTGGAAAAAAGAAAAAAAAAAACCCAATCCCCTCCTTATTTATTGCCATGTGACTTTGGAGAGCAGAGCTGGTGAGTTTGTTGTATATGCCTCCTGTGTGCTGGCATGAGATGTGTACGTAAAACTGTGTAAAATAAATATGGAAATTCTTTAGAAACTGATGTGTCTTGTTTTTTGTTTGGTCCTCTGAAGGTTTTCTCTCTTGATGTGGGTAGAATAAAAAGCTGAGCTGACATGGGATTTTGTCATCACCAGAAGGAAACCAAAAATATAACCCCAAATGTCAAAGCCACTTACAGCCATGAAATTCCAGAACTGCCCAATAAAGTGCTGGTTAGGGGAGAATCTACGGTATTCTTTTCTTTTCTATAGTCCAGGTTGACTTCAAACTTACTATGCAGAAGACAATAACCTTTTTTTTTTTTTTTTTTTTAGGAGATAGTTGGGGTTTATTAAAAGGTAAAGTGAGGCATTCTTAGGGGTGGGAGTGGACAATGGCCAAAGGGGTCATTATGAGGAAAACACTCTCAGGGAGGCCAGAGAGCATTGTCTACCCTACAGTTTCAAGTAGGTTAGTCCTATTTCCAAAGTCTCTGGAATAGTCAGCTCTCTTCAGGGGTGTTTTCCTGAGATGACAATCTTTAGCCTCTGATTCTCTTGCCTCTACCTCCCAAGCACTGGGATACAGGTTTGCACTACCACACATGGTTTATGAAGTGTTGGGGTTCAAACCCAGGTTGTCATGCATGCCAGGCAAGCTATCAACTGAGCTATGCCCATACACCTGGTTTTATTTTATATTTTAAAATGTGTGTGTGTGTGTGTGTGTGTGTTTGGTTTACACATGCTTGTGAGTGGTATATGGATGTGTATAGATATGCAGGCCCATGTGTACATATGCAGAGGTTAGAGGATGACAAATCCTCTCTCACTTTCCACTTTATTCCCTGTGGACAGGGTCTCTGGAGCTTTGTTTTTCTGCCAGGCTGGCCGGCCAGCAAGCCCCAGTGTTCTTCCTGTCTCCATGCCACCCCCAGTGCTGGGGTTACAGTGTGCTCAGCCATACCCAGCTTTAACATAGATGCTGGGGATCCAAACTCATTTCCTCATGCTTATGCAGCAAGTGCTTTTCCCACTGAGCCCACTCCTCAGCCCCGTTCTGATTTTTCTAATAGCAACTTCCCAGGGCACCATCCTCTGTTCTTGGATTTTGGGGAACAGGC